GATGTTTGGCGATTGTGTTTTACTTCCAAGTACTTCATCCATCACCAAATGGTAGATTCTATCTAATAGATGGTGTTGACAACTGATAAACTGAGGTTTGTTGATGCGTTTCTCTGTGAACATTCATTGCAATATTACAACACCATTCTTTTTCCAGTGTTGCCCTTGGTGATATCTGCAACAGTCATCTGTATTGAATTCCATAGGTAAAAATCATAGAGTATGAATTTCACCTATGGAATTTGATTTCTCTTCATCCAATTTGATTTCATCTTACATCCAATTTGATTTCTCTTCTTTCATTTTTAGACAACCACTTGATAATCCATTCTGTTAATGTGCTTGCCATCAAAGTGTAAGGACCAACTTTCCATATGCAACTTTTCAATCATTTCTTTCTTCAACTTGCTTGCCTCTGTGATTGCTGACTTGTAAATAGCTGATTGACATGGAGATGGGATACCAATGCCTTTACAACCCAATTGCTTGCAAATGTTAGCAGCTTTGTTTGTTGATACTCTTGTGGAGGTCACCAAGTTGACTGCAATTTTGCTTTTATAGTGTTTTCTGCTTGGTGTAGGAATTGTCTCATTTTCTTCATTGTTTCCATACTCACTGTCGTCAGCCTCAGATTCAGAATCACCAAAACCAGGATAGTAACTTACTTAGATACTTCTTTTTTTATGAGAGTCTTCGAATTTTACCAGATTATTAGTCCAGACATCCTTGTTCTTCTCAATGCTACTATTGCTAGGCTTGTGCGACACCATGTGTTGCTTCTGAAATAACCTAAAAACTAGATGAGAAGCTATATATAGTCAAAAATGTTCTAGAATGTTTCAGAATTTTCAGATCTTCCTATTTTTGTGAATGGTAATGTACTCAATGAGTCATCTACCCTTCATTTTCTAGGATTAACTCTTACTTCTAATCATTCTTGGAAACCATTTATCAAAATCGTTGTAAAATTAGCATCTGCTAAGGTTGCATTTCTTTATTTTTTTTTTTGTGACTGTTCCCACGTGCTCCAAAAACTCTTTCTTTCTAGAAATTCCTCTAGTTTTTTTCCTCAAACATCAGTTCTTTGGAATTCGCTTCCTTTACCTTGCTTTCCTGATTCATATAACTTGCAATCTTTTAATATGTCTGTCAATCGTTATCTTGCTCAAAAATTTTTATCTTTTTTCATCCAGTAACTTCCAACTCTAATTAGTGGTTGCTTGCAGCCTTGTTGGGAGCAAATATGTTATAAAGAAAAAATATATATATATATATATATATATATATATATATATATATAAATATATATATATATATATATATATATATATATACCTATATACATATATATATATATAATATATATATATAATACATATAACATATATATAATATATATA